GATATTCCCAGTAACGGTGTGTCTAGCGCTGTCAGATATTCCCAGTAACCGTGTGCCTGGCACTGTCAGATATTCCCAGTAACGGTGTGCCTGGCACCGTCAGATATTCCCAGTAACTGTGTGCCTGGCACCGTCAGATATTCCCAGAAACGGTGTGTCTGGCGCTGTCAGATATTCCCAGTAACTGTGTGCCTGGCGCTGACAGATATTCCCAGTAACGTCTAGCGCTGTCAGATATTCCCAGTAACGGTGTGTCTAGCGCTGTCAGATTTTCCCAGTAATGGTGTGACTGGCGCTGTCAGATATTCCCAGTAACTGTGTGTAACGGATCGCCTGGCACCCCGACTGGGTACCTCCGTTAAAGGATGCTCCTAGCGCTTCCTGAGGACTCCAAGCACTGCAGCAGACACCACAACCACCAAACCGGAGAAGCATATGAATCCTCTCAAGCATATGAATGCTGTAGACAGTTGAATAGAAACCATACGAATAGGTTTACTCTCCTAGCAGTCAAACTGGAACAGCATACAATAAATCCTTCCCCCAATAATGAGACGACACTTCACTTTGAGGGTTAAAACAGGAACTCCCTGTACTGTCACATACAGTCTCTTTTATTCCCAATCCACAAACATAGTACAGCCTACAGGGCGTTACAAAACAACCAATCACATATCAGTTACATCCCACATATTCCCTCCCCTTATCCTGAGAGGAAACTCAATTACACATACAGTTAAAACATACTTCTACCCAACTTTCATAACTCTAAAACCATACATCACATTCACATAAAATTACATATTCACAATCAATCCATTCAGGGGAACAACATATTAAAAAATGGCATGAATCAGACCAGGGGTTCAAAAGCTAGTAAAAAGTATCTTTTGTACCCTGGCTGGCAGCATGGCTATCTGGCTCAAACAGGTTTTACAGAGCCCTCTATCCTGGACAATGGGGAAAGTAATCCAATTATCCAGGGATAGAGGCAGACTCCATTGAGCACATGGGGACACCAAGACAGTAAAACACATGGGATTCCTATCTGGGGTATAACACATTCAAACAAATCTACCGAACCCCAGACAGAAAAGCACGAATTAAGCTTTTCTGCAGGTAAAAAAGATGTCTTTTAACAGGGGGCCATAGTCCAAAGGCAGCAGGCCAGCAACCAGGCTTCTCCAATGCAATGTGGCGAGATTGGTCTCGTCACACTATCCTTTAACATGGTTTCCATTACTTTCCCCACTACTGAAGTAAGGCTTACTTGCCTATAGTTGCCCGACTCCTCCCTATTACCTTTCTTGTGAATGGGCACAACATTCGCTAACTTCCAATCTTCTGGGACTACTCCTGTTAACAATGATTGGTTTAATAAATCTGTTTATGGTTTTGCTAGTACACCACTAAGCTCTTTTAATAACTTTGGGTGTATTCCATCAGGTTCCATTGACTTATTTGTCTTTACTTTTGACAGTTGAAATAGAACCTCTTCCTCTGTAATCTCACATGTAATAAATTACTCATTTTTCCTCTTTCCTAACTGAGGTCCATTTCCTTCATCTGTAAATAGAGCGTTATCCTCTTCTACATACCTTCCTTCTTTTGTTTTTAATCTAACTAATCCTTGTTTTACTTTCCTTTTCTCATTTATGTATCTAAAACATGTTTTGTCCCCCTTTTTTACTGACTGTGCTATTCTCTCTTCTGTGTGTGATTTGGAAGCTCTTATAACTTGCTTAGCCTCTTTCTGCCTAATCTTATAGATCATTCTGTCTTCCTCACTCTGGGTTTTTGTATAATTACTAGATGCCAACTTTGTTTACTATTTTGGCCACGTCAGCGGAGTATCACAGTGGTTTCTTAATTTTTCTGCTCTTACTGACAAGCCTAATGCAATTTTCTGTTGCTTTAAGTGCAACTTTTAACTAATCCTTTTTCTCTTGGACTCCATTTAAATTGCTCCAGTCTGATAAGGACTCATTTACACATATTCTAATTTTAGAAAAATCTATTTTTCTAAAGTCTAAAACTTGTTTTTGTGTGACGTGACTCAGTCCCTTTTCACATATTAAACCACACTGAATCCTAAACTTTCACCTACAGTAATATCTGATACCAAATCTCCATTTGTTAACACTAAATCTAGTATGGCCTCTTTATGAGTTTTAGAGACAATCCCAGTAGGGAGTTTGGAATATGTGTGCTCCTGGCTATACAAAGAGTACCCTGGTATTGCTATGTCCCAGTCATTTTTCCTCATTATACCATGTCTCAGTAACAGTGACTAAATCTACATTATCAGTTGCCATTATTGCCACAAGTTCATGGATAAAACTGCGAGCATTTGTAGACATGACTCTAAGTTTATCTTTTTATTAACACACTCGCTACAGTTACTTTCTGTCCTTGTTTTGGGGGGCAATTGGATTGATGTTTTAATATCCTTTGCCCCCCCCCCTTCCTAGTTTAAATATGTCCTAGCAAAACTGTAGTGGAACGGATGCCCTAACAACACTAACAACACTTTTTGTCCGTACACCCCTAGTTCTTTTACCGAACCAACTTTGTGTGGTCTCCTGTTAACACATCACAATCACCGACCACCCCTGGCTGTTAATCACAAATTGATCATCAGTGCAAGTGTTTTCCCTGTGTGGCCGCCGTTCGTATAACTGAACACACATGCTCCAAGAATTTGCGGCCATCAACGCAGGCATCGGTACATGGCCGTCGACAGCATGGAACTATATCTCGCATACGCGACCCCGCGAACACCCAGGAAACTTGTACTACCCAACTTCCCAAACAGTTATGTCAATGGTTTTCGGGAGACATGAGCTACTGAACAACCAGGAGGAGCATTCGTCAGTGTTCGTGTGAGAACCCCTGAAAGATGACCAGTCGTTGCCTTATTTTCTATAGAACTGCTTTGGGTAATCACCTCGTGGCCGAGCGGTCAAAACTTGATTTGAATGGCGTTTTAGAACAACTGAAGGGATCTAAGCGCTATTTGGACAAAGTGGGTGGTCAGACCCAAGCTATTCAGTGATATGACTTTCGTGGGGTTCCTATGTTATTAAAATGTATTTTTATGAGAAATTGTAAAATCATTTATGTTTCCTGT